TAGCTAAATATTTAAGTTGCAACCTAAATATTTAGGTAGCTAGCTAAATATTTAAGTTAAATATTTAGGTGGCTAGCAGAATAAAGGAAAACAATAAAGATGAAAACACTATATATTTTTATTTTGGTTYAAGTATCTGAAACCTTGCGACTCTTGTACCTTTCACCTCCAGTCTTCCTTCACACTGCTTTGTCCCGTATTCGTTAATGATCCTGCAGGTGTAAATTCCAGAGTCTGATCTCATGGCTGACTTGATSGTCATCTCAAATGTCCCGCCCGTCRTCTCAYGAACAATGTGACGTGGACCGGTTTTAACTGTGACCCTGTCCCTCAGCCTGGAAAATGTTAAAGACATTAGTGTATTTACACATATTATACTTCTCACAGCTATTTTGCATTTAAATATATGCAGATTATGGCCAAGAACAGATAATTTTTCCATTACTAAACCCTGGTGTGACAGACAGTGGGTGGCGTTCGATGTCTGGTACTTTATTATTAGCTGTTGGGTCTTAAGAGTCATGACATAGTCTTGTGTCGGAGCCCATATGGTTGATTCAGCCTATTTTTATCTGCTACATTTAGGAACACTATTTCCTAATTAAATTTAATCCAAAGGAAGATGCCTAAGTTCCTTTTCATTTCCATTTTCTTTTGTTAATTTGGAGTAATCACTTTGTTGAAAATAATCACTAATGTGAGCCTAGAAAAACCTGGTTCAGGCATTTAAATCCTTCTTTGGGAATTGTTGCTACAAAGTAACCCAGCTTTATCACTGGWAGAAGTGTAAAACAGTGTTTAATAACCACAAATGAGCTCAAAAATCTTTCAAACAACTGCAACTATTTATTTTAGGTATCAGTGTTGCGTTTGTTGCTCATTAGTTCATTAAGATTTGTGGTAAAATAGCTTCTGCACGGTTAATGTAGCCTGAGCAACGTTGCTTTCTCCTGCTTAGATTTTCTGACAACCTCAAGATCGTTAAACTCAATGAACWTTAAGCTTTCACCTCTTTAAACACTTGGAGCAATGTTCAGCCTAAAAAAAAAAATAAAACTGTGGATTTGAGTGAATTTGGTTGTGCATTGTATTTTCTAATGCAAACATTAGGTTTGAGGAACCTACCAGTAAAGCATGGGTTTGGGTTGTCCGCTTATTCGCACAGACATGGTGACTTCCTGTCCTTCAATCACAGCTTGATCTGTCATTGTTACCTGTCAAAATCATTTTGCAAAATAGAAATTGTAAATTTGATTTGACAGAGCTAATATGGGCTGCCATTTGTAAAGTTACACAGTCAAAAAAT